CTGTCAGTGTTGTGTAGCTCTGGCCTGACCTCTTTTAGGCTCAGGAGGGGATTCCTTGGCAGCAGAAAGGGTTAATGCAGCCACCAGTTGGTAGCCACTCCAGCATGCACTTAGTTCACACAGTAAACTCTTGTCTCCTGTATTTTAGCAGATGGTGTTACAGCAATGATGTGAAATTCCAATTTAAAAACACTTCTTGCTGTTGTGATAGGAACAGGATTTTTCTAAGCAGCTTCCTTCATTAGGTTATTGTGGTGGTTTGAGAGCTGAGCAGGGCTGTTCTTAGGACCCTGTTTGAAAACTTTGCCTCTTAAGTGAAATTCTTTTCTCCTCAAAGGCCGCCTGCTGCCAAGATCAGTGTCTTCCTTTCTTTGCTATCCCTCCACCCCTGCACACTATAGCACGCAGCCATCGAACAAGAATGGAGCCCAGCCTCAGCAGTGGTACTCTCTGGAGCCTGAGCTGGAGGAGATGCTGATCCCCAGGAAGCTTTCCATCAGCCCCTTGGAGAGCTGGCTGACAGTCAGGTACTCCCTCCCTGCGGCAGAAGTCCTCAGCGCTCAGGGAGGAGCTGGGGAGGAGCCGCTGCGGCAGTACCACTGTCCCCCAGCAGAGGATGGAGCTGATGCGGGGGAAGGAGAAGGAACTTTTAACAACAGCCTCCAGTGTAAGAACGTCCTGAGCATCCGGAGGAGGAAGATGAACCGGCACAAGTACAAAAAGCTGCTGAAGAGGAGGAAGTTCATCCGGAGGAGGGTGAAGGAAAGTCGCAAGAAGAAGCGTCAGGTGAGCTCGGGGTCAGCAGCACTTCAGTGCCCCCACTTCCCAAACTGGCCTCTGCTCAGGACTGGGTGGTGTTTCTAAGTGGGACTGATTTGGGGAGGAATGGCCAGAGCTTGGAGAGCCTTGATGGGTTCAGTGTTTACTGGTACAGCAGCTGGTCCTGTGTGTTACTTGGGCGTCCTCAGGAGCTGCACGTCAGGATGTTTCTGTGCTTCTAAACTGTGGGGGGTGGTCACTAGATGTGACTTTTATTGCATGGCAGTAGCTTGTAAATGCACGTGGCTAATGAAGAATTGCAGTGCTTGTGTGAAAGGTTATTTCACATGTATATGTTGTATCCAGGAGACTGTTTTATTTCCAGTCTTGCCAACAACCTCAAGTGTTTCCTGTTGTCTTGTTTTGTTTGAAAGCCTTTTACTTCCCTGCCCAGGAGGGGTAGGGGAAGACATGGGCCTTCATTCAAGCTGTAGCTGTTCTCATTCAACACTACCTTTCAGCAGTCTGTTAGGTTTGCTGGGATGCAGCTTAGTTCATTCTCTGCTAATTCTCATCTGCCCTAGGTGCAAATTTGGGTTCATTTTAATTCCATTTCTTCAGATTTGTAGGAAGTGGTGTTGAATGCTTTATGATGGAGAAATCCTCTGATTTTTCTTAGTTTTAATTTCCTATCTTCTCAGTTTTCCTCACACAGATCTTTTAAAATAATGCTACCAAGATCCTTGTGTGATTTAATGTGTGTTCAGCAATAAGATTAGCTGTTTTGACACTTAATTTTACACTATTTTGACACTTAGAACAAGCATTTGTTTGCTTTTAAGTCAACCTAGATTCTCCTTGGGATGCAGGAACAGGGGCTGAATATTTGTGTGTTGCTTTTGAGCTGTCTTACCATTTTTTTCTTTCTTATTTTCTCTGTTTTAGATAAAATTTGAGAAAGATTTGGAGCGCATCTGGAAAAGAGCTGGTTTGAAAAGTCCTCCTGCAGGATGGCAAACACCCAAGATATTTCTGAAAAGTTCAAAGAGATAAAAACACTTTGTAATGAGCTTTAACCTTGTAACTGTCATTAAACAATATTTAACATCGTGGATTACATTTAGCCTTTTTCTGAGTGTGGTGGAATTAGGAGGAGGAATCTTCCAATCCTGTGGAGTGGATTTGCAAGGAGAAGTTGACAGCAATATGCTTGTCCTCCCCCAAAGAGCTGGGAGAGCTCTTGTGTGGTGACTTGGTGCTGCTGGGTGCAGTCCTGTGCTGCTGCCCCAAGCTGTGTGTCTGGGCAGAGCTGTCTCAGGCTGCAGCTGAGTTTCTGGAGCTGCTGTTTAAGGTTTGCTGAGCAGTGTACTGCAAGAACAGCTGGTTATGGGAGATGGGATAGCAGAAATAATTCTTCTGCTTGTCTATAAGACACAGGCTGTTTGAAAAATTCTGTTTAAAATTGCATTCTTTCATAGCCTTATGATAGAAGGACTGGTGTTAACTGGTGAAACAGGAACAGGATCAGAGTTCTACAGAATATATCTACAAAAGCTTTAATTTTCCCTCACCTGAAGCCTCAGTGTGCATTAGGCACTGCAGGAGCATCCTTAAATGCCATATTTACCTTTTCTGTTCTGTTTTGTGCAAATAAAAAAAGAAAGAATGTGTTTGTATGGTTGACCCCTGTCATGCAGAACATCCAGATATTGGTAGCAGTAAAAGTTCAGAGCTAATTACTCATTAACTACAAAAACTGTTTTCTGCCTGGGGCAGCCCTGTTGTAATCAGCTGGTTTTGCATGATGGAGGAGAGTCCTGAAAGCTGTGAAAAATAGAGATGTTTAAAATAAACCCTGCCAAAGGACTTGGTACCTGGCTTTTGGGTTGGGTTCTGCTTCTGGTTTTTCTGTTTGGGGCAGTGAACTGTCCCGTGTGATTTAGCAGAGGACTTGGTACCTGGCTTTTGGGTTGGGTTCTGCTTCTGATTTTTCTCTGAGGCAGTGAACTGTCCCGTGTGATTTAGCTCCTCCCTGTGTTCCAGCAGATAGATGGGGTGGACTGACCTCTGCAGGACAGGAGGGAAGAGAACAAGCTCTCTGAGGCTCGTCCTTCTGCAGTGTTCAGGGAAGCCACCCTGAAAATGCATTTCTTTTACCTGCTAGGAGCAGAACAGCTGACTAAACTGAGAGGGAAGGAAATAAATGCACCCGTGGAACTCACTGCGACAAGGTGCAGTTTAACCTGGCAGCAGGAAGGACCAGAGACTCCCGGCGGTGTCCGAGGTTCGTGTCCAGCTCCCTGCTCTGCTTGTCGGTAGGTGGCAGTGAATTCAAAGCCTCAAACTCCCCAGCTGCTCATGCAGAGGCTGGCTGTTGGTGTTGGTGTTGCAAGGAAAGGGCACACCCACATTTACAGAGTGATTCGTCTTGCTAGAGAGCTGCTGGTATTGAAGTCCTGCAGAAACATGTGGTTAGCACATTGTTTTTAGGTCTTTTTTTTTCCCAAACCATATGTTAACAGTAGGCAACTTTAATTAAAAAAAAATAATAAAAAGATGTTCCATCTTTTTCATGCTTTAAATAGGAAGGAATTGCTTTTAATCCAGAGCAGCAGGACACTCTCATTCAGCTGTCAGGATTTCAACCAAGAGGAGGATGTGTGAGCCTTAGAAACAGCAGGCAGGAGAAGATTGGGTGTTGATTCTGCCTTACAGGTTTGTTAAATATGCAGAGTGCATCTGGATGTTTCTAAAATACCAATCCATGTCCCTGCACAAAGACTGGTAGATGAAAGGCCTGAGGGAGCCCTTTGAAGCCACGTCCAGGTCTTCTTTCCCCCAGTCACACTTGGTTTAAGAGCCTTTGTGCCAGCATCTTCATTGTCTGTCAGTCCTGCAGCTTCTCTTACCAACTCCTAGTCTGAGCTTGCTGGTTTTCTGTCGAGGGTGATCAGTTTGCACAATTCCAGGGGATCTCTGGCTGCTGAGGAGCTGGAATGCTTTGGAGTTACACAGAGCAGAAGACTTTATACAGGCAGCAGGAGCATGCTGTGCTCATTTGTCTGATCCCAGTTTTGAGGCTTATTCTTCCCTGATTTTTGTCTTGCTTAATCCTACAGCTTGCATCTTTGTTCTCTGTGGTAGTCTCTCAATCTACAAACTGGCCAAGGTTGTGTTACCTGGTTTTATCTGCCAAGGCTTAGGCTGGTCTAAACTCTCTCTAGTTTGATGTAAAACCTCTCCTGCTCATGAGGGAGCAGCACGATGGGGCTGTGGAGGACAAACTTGGACCTTGTGCTCATTCCTGCAGGCAGAGAGCTCTGTGGGCCATTTTCCTGGATGTGCCAGCACCACCACCTTGCTCTCTAATTTGCTTTTAAATTGGGATAGGAACTAGAAAAGAGAATTATTGAAATAGTGGGAAATGAAAAGTGTAATCATTCAGTTCCCTGTGATGTTCCAGTGCAAGTGAATTCTTGTACTATGTTACATTGGGGTATTTGGATGGTGAATTGCAAGGCTCCAGGAGGTAAAGTAGCTCATTAAATGGTGTGCTCTCTAAGTAGTAGTTCAAATTATAGCCTGCCAAGAGTAGTTGTTACTTTTACATACATTAGACACAATTACACTAATCACATATAGAAGCCTGCAACTACTGTGTAATTTCCAAAAGTCTGTAAACCACCCAGAGCAGTTATTGCCAGTCTTGGTGATATAAATGCTGTGTTCCTGTTTGCTGAAGTCCCTCAAAGTCTCTCTCAGGATTTGTATTTTCTGTGTGGCAGGTCCTGCAAAGACTCCATGTCACATGGCACTAACCAGATAACACACACTGGGCTTTGATCCACTTCCTTTCACCCTCCTGACCACAGGATGCAATTTTAAACTCCCTCTTACTTTCCCAGAGAGAATCAGATGAAAGCTGGACCTTTTTTTCTGTAGGGGGAGCACGAGTACATAATATACTACTCACAAAGCTTTATTACAAGTTGCTGTTCCTCTCCAAAACGTGTGTGCCAATGTGCTTGCACACTTAGTAAATGTATGTGTGTGTTTGTGTGTAACTGCTGTGGTAGCAAAAAAACAGGCAAGCAAAATGTCTGAATAGAATTAGTTTGTTAAAGGAAAAGGGAAAGTCCAGCAGTTGATACAAGAGGTTCTGTCCTTTGGAAGTCTTGCACTTACCCCACAAAGCATGTTGGAGTGTTGGCTGGTCTGCTAGCTGTTAAAGCAGCCCTGAGGCCCTGCAGACAATGTGCTCCTGGATCCCCTCTCCCTGCTGTCCTTGGCACAGGCAAGGACAGTTTGCTGGCTGTCCAGGAAGGAGTCATGTGGAGAGGAAGTGGAGTGGAATGTAGTGATGGCTTCTCCAGCTCCTGCTCTGAGACCAGACCTGAAGCTGATTCAAAGCAGGAGCTGCATGGGTTGTGATGGGGCTGGAGAAGGAAAACACCACTGTGAATCAAGGCTCTTTGTAGAGATGCAGAAGGGTTGAGTAGCCTTAAATGCTGAAGCTTGAGGAGCCTGGGAAAAAAAATTGCTGTTGGTATTGCCCAGACAGTCAGGTTTTGTTAGGCTGTTGGACTGTCACCATGAAAGAGCCCAGACTGAGAGAGTTGATTCAGTGTTGTGGGATGCTCACTACACCTGGCTGCACATGACTGTAGCAGCAAAGGTGAAAAGAAATAATCTTCCTGTAGCTGCTGTGTTGGCTCCTGGTAGGTAGTGTGCCTAAGAACCTGATTTTTTGGAGTGTGGGGTTTTCGTGGTGGTGATGGTGGAGGTTTAGGGCTGGGGGGATGTTGTTTGTTGGGTTTTGTGGGATTTTTGCATTGTCTGGGGTTTTGGTCGTGTGGTTTGGTGTTTTTGTTGCTGTTGTTGATTTGTTTGGTTGTGGTGGTTACTTTGCATCAGAAGAAGAGGGTGAGGGTGATGCCTTTTCCTTTGCTGCAGGGGGATTTTCCCACCTACCATAACCCTGGCTCTGGAAGCCCAAGTTCTTTCTGTGTCTGTTCTGTGGAAACTGTTCGTTCTTCCATGAGTTAACTCAAGACCAGTGTTGAGAAGAGTACAGGTGAGCCCATGTCAGGGAATGTTTGTGAGCACGTGATGTACAGAACACACCTTTGGGGGGTCCATAGGATCTTGCTCCTTCTGTCCCCTGACTACCACTGCCCAGTAATCCCTGAGCAGAACCAACATGCACCTTTACTCCAGGGAGCTGATATCCATATTAAATGGGGCACTTTCACATTAAAAACCATCAGAATGTTACTTGGGACAAGCTGGTGTATGTACCTTGGCTTCAGGAGCTCTGATTTGGTCCTTCTCAAAACAGGCAGGCAGCTCCACTGCAGTGGGTGTGAACCCCAGCCCATGGGTTCCAAGGCTAACAAACCACACGTGCTTATACTAGCCAAAAAGTCTGACTGAGGTGATCTTACTGCTCTTGCAAACAGCACCTGTGGATGGCTAAAATGACATCTTTTCTTTTCACTCTTCATGCTGTTCTGCTGTTGGCATTTCTGTTCTGACTGTGAAAACATCCTGGTTTGGGTTCACTTGGGCTGAGCCTGGTGGGTTGCTCTCCAAAAACAACAGCCCTCTGTATTGAAATTGGGGGAGCACTGCATTTGCAGAGCTGGAATGGTTTTGAAAAGTGGGTTTTGCTTTTCCTACTGATTTTTAAATTGAAATGGAAAAAAAAAATAATCAGTAACTGGAGCTCTTGTAGACATCTGAGCCAGCTTTAAGCAGTGTGGTGGCTTCCCTGTGGAAGTATCCCTTCTTGTTTGCCTTCCCCTACAAGACAGAGGGACAAAACTGAAACAAGGAGTTCTGTGAGGCAAGAGTATTTAAGAAGAGCATCTGATATGTCACTCTTGCATCAGTTCCCTGAAATAAGACTGAGTTCTTTAGTCTTGCTTACTGCATGGGCACTAATGCATCTTTCCTCTGTTATACTAGTTATAAAACTTAGAAGAACTATGACAGACTTGTCCCCTACTGTCAAATGTAGCTAAAATTGGCTATTGTGTTTCAAAATAATGGGA